AAAACAGAAACATCTCAGTTTATTTGTGAGCCATGCACTGGTACTCTGAGGCTGAAGGCAGCAGAGGGTATATTTAAACACCCAAATTATGCCTCTCATTGATGAGTCCCGCCTGGGCTTCCCTCTGCTGGACTTTAGAAGAAGCTTTCCTATCAGGTTCCTCCTGGCATCACAGAGATGCAATTTGGAGGAGTGAAAAATCTGACAAAAAAAAAAAAAAAAGGGAATTAAATCCTTAATCCTAAAACCAGGAACTAGCAACCTGTTATGTGTAGGATAAAAGACTTTTTTTACCTTTCTGAGCTGGTGGCCAGGTGTGTTTTCACACCCACCTGCTTCCCTCAGTATTTCAGCCTCCACCGTGCCTTTGTAGATTAGCCAGGCTTTGTTCCTGAGGACAAAAGTCCACCTCCACTAACAACTCACCGAGCTCTTGGGACAGGATAACCTCAGGGATTTGCTTAAGGAGAAGCTCTTAAGGCACCAAAGTCTAAGTTAAACAAAGCAGAAACTCGCTCAGGAGGTTCCTCAGCCACAGCTTGTCTATGAGCAGCGTGCTTTGCCATGCAGGGACAAGGAGAAGCAGCTTTGAAGAGTGAGAGGTTTATCTGGTTCTTGGGATGAAAGGAGAGATTGTGTGGTTGCATCCATTGAAAACCAAACTCGCACTGGCTTGGGAGTCAGGATTTCTGTCAGGATATTCAAAAGATGCTCAGGGAAATGATCGCAGATCATGAAAGTGTTTTGGAGTGTCTCATCTCTTGTGTGGATGCTCTTATTCAGAATTAAAGCACCTCATTGCAGCTGGTAAGTCTCGTTCTGAAAGCAAAATACAATAAATTGAATTATTTCCTTTCGATGAAAAAGATTTTATTTGCTTTTCCTGTGGTTTACAGTACGGACAAGCACAAGCTGGCCTGGGCAAGCAGAAAGGACAAGCTCATGGCCTGAGGTGCTGTGTTCCATCACGTTCTGTAAATTGTGAATTAAATTACTGTCCAACTATTTTAATTACCTGATTCTAAGGAGGTGCAATTAGTCAGAAAAACCTTTGTGTGTCATAAGCTGAGAATGAATTTCCCAGGAAGTTTGAAGCAGCACATTAACAGCATCAAATTTCATGGCGATGTCAATCAAGACAAGTAGCCCTGTCCCCCTCCTGGCACTTTCCTGCATACAATTGCCACTCAATTACCACCAGCCATTAATCAAGAGCACATTTTCATACAAAAAAAGTCTGTGGCTGAGGGTTGTTATTTCTTTCTGTTGCCTTGTGACTTCAGTGCCTCACAGCCGGTTCTGTTAATGAATGGCACTTGATGGAAATAACACCGGCCTCTGCCCTTTTGCCTCGCTGAAAGTAGGAGCTGGGAAAAACTGGAACTCAAAAAAACGTAAACGTAGAGAAGGAGTGGGAGGATGGATAGAAAAGTAGAGGCTGAGATTAAAAAAAATGCCAAAAAGGTTGGAAGGCTGAAAAGTAGAGGTTAAAAAAGGGAGGGAGGCTGAAAGCTGATGCCAAAAAGGGGTGAGAGACTGACATGAGGGCAGAAGGAGAGGAGAGGCTGGTGGGGAGGGGGAAAGTTTAGGAATGGTGTTCACCCTTAGCACTGTAAATATTCCCAGAGTTACACAGGACATCGCTGGACCACACCCAGCAAGGAAAAGCTCACCTTTTATCGGGAAAAAGCTGAAATTCTGGGAAATAAATGGTATTGTCAAGTCTCCACTGGAACCAATACAGACTTGGAGATCGTTTTTAAAGGATCCTGACTAATTCCCTTTGTGTTCCTGATCTTTCCACTCAGCGTTTTTATTGTGCCTTTCTAAGGAGCCCAGGTAAAATATGAGGAATGAGCCATCTTGCCTTAGGAAGAGGTGTAGATTTAGGATTTTAGGAAGAGGTTAAATTTAGGAGTATTTCCAAGATGCTTTTCGAAAGTGGGATTTAGTAAAGCATTTAAAATGTCCTGACCTCGAGCATGTCCCCAGCCCTTTCATCTTCTCACCAGCTCTTGCCAGGGGCAACAAACCTTAGAGGGGCAGCACTGGAATTTCTGCCACTTTGAGCATGGTGTGTTTGCCTTTTAATGACTTTAATATTCCAGCTGCAGAAACCCTGCTCCATCTGTTCTGTATGTGGGGACAGGTGACAGCCAGGGGCACTGTCTCAGCTGGCCTGGGAGGTTGTGCAGCAGCTGCAGTGGGATGAGGTGTCTGCTCATGCCCTGACGTGAAATCACATAACATGACAGAAAAACCTCTGGAAAAATTTCCTATCAAGTGTGCAGACTGTTTTTGTGTATATTAGGCGTGTTTGGGTGCTGTAAATAGGCTGAGATGACTGTGCTCCCTGGCAGACTTCTCCCATGGGCACAGAAAGCCATAGGTGTCCTGCCCAGCCCCACTGTGACTGCCCACGTGAGGAATTTGTTAGGATATTTCACACAGGAATCCAGACACTGTGCTTTAAATGAGGATAAAATGTGGACGTTGCTCACTTCCATTTGACTGTCAGCTCTCCTGGGCACGATGAAAGCAGCAGTGGGTCCCAGCTATTGAGCTCGCTCTGCTGTTGTATCTGGGGCTCCTGCAAGTCCTGTGTAGTGCTGCCAAGACCTTGGAGGGGATGGAAATCCTGACAGGAGAATGTGACTGCTCCGCCATGGGGATTAGAGTTCAAAGTGCTCTCAGTCATGGTGTCCAGTTGTAGTCTCCAGCTGACAATGACCAGCAAAGTTCACAGAGACACAAAACCTATCTTGGGACTGCTGCTTGAGGCCTGCTGGTTTTCCAGCCTCTGCCTTTGACCCTTTAACCCCTGACAGCCAGGTAGGGAGGTTTAACCTCAGCTGGCAAAGCAGCACCACACGGCTGAACAGATAAAGCAAAAGCTGCACAAGCAAGCAAAGCTAAACAGGGAATTCATCCACTGCCTCCCTTGGCAGGAGGAGTTCCAGGAAGGCAGGGCTCCATCTCTGTAACAGGGACTTGGGAGGACAAACTCAGAATGTGTCCCCTTCCTCCTTCTCCCCCAGCTGTGTGTGCTGAGGGTGATGCCACAAGGTCTGGGGTAGCCCTGGGGTCAGCTGGGATCAGCTGTCCTGGCTGTGTCCCCCCAGCTCCTCCCTGGTGAGGGTGAGGAGCAGGACAGGCCCTGGCTGTGTGCAATCCCTGCTCAGGGATAACTCAGACATCCCTGGGGTATCAGCCCTGTTTCCAGCACAGAGCCAAACCCAGCTGCTGGGAGGAAAATTAACTCTGCCCCAACAAAACCAGCACACCAGGTGTTCTGTCAGTCTCCTGAGCATTAGAGGGACCAGCAGTGGCCCAAATTTTGTTCCTTTTCTGTCCATGGTCACCGATAGAGCCTTGGTGAGAACTCCTTGAGAGCAGACACAGATGAGGGGAGATTCAGGGAGGGAGCAGACTGTGGGGTTACAGGGACATCAGATGGCCAGGAGGGTATGCTGTGGCTGAGCCTGGGAGCTGGGAAGGTCCTGGAGGAAATCTGCACCATGAGGCTACAGCAGAACACTCAGGGGGAAGGCAATGTGAGAGGGGCAGGTACTGCTGGCTTTGCTCTGAGAAGGTGCAGGAGGGCAGCAAACACAATCTGCCACTCTCAGGCAAATTGCTGTGGTCAGAGGGAATGTAGAAAAATTGGTTTATCACACATTATCTTAACTTGATTTGAGTTCCTGGGGCACAGTGGCCTTGAGGTGAAGAACTATTGGTGCTAAATGAGAACTAGCCAGGCTGCAGGGAGATAAACTAGACGGGCAGTGAAATGGGAACTAGATTTGGAGGGAAAAAAAAACCAACACTTTTAATTCTCTGTGCGGTTACTGAGATTCATTTTTTGGCAATAGCTGTGATTCAGAACCATTAACAAGAACGTTTTACCTGGAGAGAGTATTTACAAATCCCCAACAAGCGCAGGGACCAGAGTACAGCAATGTCATCCTCCTGGGTATGTACCAGTCCAGCTCCTCTGCTGACAGAGGGACATCTGGCTGCTGCTGGATAATATCCCTGTACAAATAACACCTCTCTGATGGTGTGCTTCTTGCCCTCTAGATGGTACTAAGCACCGAGTCTGAAATTGCTGATTAAACTGCCTGCTGTCAATAACATTTTCAGGCTCTGGGGTTGTTAGGAAACCTCTTGGCTTTTCCATGGTTTTGATCCACATCCAGCTTTATAAATAGGTGGGTTCTGTCCCATTCAGTGCCATCGTTAGTTCAGCATGGGAAATGGTGTGATGCAGATTAAAATAACGAGCCTGGAGGCACAGAGAATGTGTGTGAGTCTCAAGTGCTGCCGCCTTTGCTTTAGACAACATGTTCAACCCCCATATAGAGAATGACCCAGTTCCTATAAGGGTTGTTTTTGTGTTGGATCCTTATTAGACTTGGCTTTTATAATTCCAGGAGGCTTTGGGGTGTATAGAGGGAACACAAATCAATGCCTTCCTCCCTGAGAAAGGGAGAGCAGTTCATGGTGCCAGGCAAAAAACGAGTACATTGGTTATCATCTGTAGGTAGGAAATTGTTTGCTTGGCTCAGAATTGTCCCCAGGTCTGGCATTGTGTTTTGCTGGGTTTTCCCCTGCAGACACACCAGAGCAGTCCCAGAGGGCAGCAAAGCCATCAGGCACTGATGGCAGGTCCACACTGTCACCTCTTCCCAGGCAGAAGAGCCAGGAAAGGCTTGGGTGAAAACACAGACTGAGCTGGTCAGTGGGTGCTCCCCTGGGCTCACCTGAAAGGATCAGGCAGGGTGACTGCTGCTGCCTTCCCCTTCTTGGGGGGAATTAAACCAGAACAGCCATCAGCAAAACAAAAGTGACCTTGGCAAGTCAAACAGTTCATTTCAAACCTGTGATACCTGCATTTCTATAGCAACAAAAATAGGAGGTTTTGCTTACTAATAGTGTCTTGTACATCTAAGAATAGCCACATTTCCACAGAATTATTAAAAAAAACACACAAATGCTAGTTTGGATATTAAGATTAATATATTTAATCTTTCTTGTTTGTAAAACAAGACATAAATTTGTGTATAGATATAACATATTTTTTTATTTATATATACTATATACAGACAATAAAAAAATTTTTCCTCTGTATTAGACTGAGAGATTTATGGAGGAATGATATAGGCATAACGGGGAGCTTTGAAGAAACTCAGAGTTTCATACTAGGTCATTCCCAGGGAAAAGGAAAACACGTCTCCCTGTCAGCCTTCAGCACTGTAACAGGCCTTGCCCACCACGGACTGAAGTCCCAACTGGCTCTTCCACTGGATATTTGCTACATGGTTCTTGAAATCAGGAGGCTGTCCCCACAGCAGGATCCTCTGTGCCTTGCTGACAGCCACGGCCCCAGTCCGGGACAGCCACGGGCCAGGGGAGGTTATTGCACTCCAAGGATGCACATGTTAAAAGCACATTTGTGCATTTCCATAGCTCCTATGGAAGAACGAGACATTTTGAATGTGCATATTTATCAAAAACAATAGAGATGGGAAGCGACTGCTGGCACGGAGATCCCTGATCATCCCCAAGGGCTGGGGCGAGCTGGCTGGGTTGGACAGCTGCCCTCACCCCTGAGAGACCAGGGCTGTGACCTCCTGCCCAGGGCTGTGACCTCCTGCCCAGGGCTGTGACCTCCTGCCCAGGGCTGTGACCCTGCCCAGGGCTGTGACCCTGCCCAGGGCTGTGACCTCCTGCCCAGGGCTGTGACCTCCTGCCCAGCCAGAGGGGCTGTGACAGGGATGGGCACCAGGATCCCGATGGGACATGAGCTGCAGTGGGTGGCAGGGTGAGGGCAATGCAATGTGTGACCTTGCATTTCTCTCCTTGCTCTGGTTTGGAGGGTAGGTGGCTGCAGGGACACACCAGTTAAGGCTGTCTCATTGATTATGTCTATTACTAGACTGGGAGGAGGAGGGGAACTTTGGGGTGGGAAGGAACACAACTAGCAATCATTTTACCATTCACCTAGGAGTGAAAACAAAACCCCCAAAACAATCAAAAAACCCCAACTCCATGTAAATAACCACCTCAGAGAACTAAATAATGCTTCTTATGGCAGTCAGCCTGTTGAAGACAGAAAAAGAACCCCAACACCCTGGCAAAGAGGACAGCCCTTGCCTGGCCCATGGTCAAAGCTGATCCGGGGCTCCTCTCTGATGGTCACAGTGAAAAGAAATAGGAGAGGGTCTGGGCTGAGCCTTGGGGGCATGAGCCTAACCTCTGGAGAATGGTGTGAGAGTGGTCTCCCTCAGCTGTTAGCCCACCTTCTGGCTTGCAGTGATCAAAGATCAGTCAATCTGGGTTCCTTGCAGGGTCTCTAGCATGGATTCAGCCATCCAGAAGAGGAACACAGAATTGTTTTGGTTGGAAAAGACTTCTAATATTATTGAGTCCAACCATTCCCCAAGCACTGCCAAGCGCATCACTAAACCATGTGCCCAAACGCCACAACTAAAGGTCTTTTAAACACCTCCAGGGATGGTGACTCCACCACTTCCCTAGGCAGCCTGTTCCAAAACCTGACCACCATCAGTGAAGACATTTTTCCTACATCCAATCTAAACTTCCCCTGGCACAACATGAAGCCTTTTCCCTCATCCTGTCACTTGCTACCTGGGGGAACAGACCGATCCCCACCTGGCTGCTCCCTCCTGTCAGGAGCTGTGCGGAGCCACAAGGTCCCCCCTGAGCCTTCTTTTCTCCAGGCTGAGCCCCTTTCCAGATCCCTCAACTTCTTCTCATCAGACTTGTGTTCAGACCCTTCCCCAGCTCCGTTCCCTTCTCTGGACGTGCTCCAGCCCCTCGGTGTCTTTCTTGTCATGAGGGGCCCAGAGCTGGACACCAGTGCCCAGTCAGGGGACAGTCACTGTCCTGGTCCTGCTGGCCACACCATGGCTGGGACAGCCCAGGTGCCACTGGCCTCTTGCCCACCTGGCACACCTGGCTCCTGTTGAGCTGGTGTTGGCCAGCACCCCCAGGGCCTTTCCCACCAGGCACTTTCCAGCCCCTCTGCCCCAGGCTGGAGCTGCAGGGGGTTGTTGTGACCCAGGGCAGGACCTGGCTGACCTTCACACAGTTGGCCTCAGCCCATGGACCCAGCCTGTGCAGATCCCTCTGCAGAGCCTTCCTGCCCTCTGCACAACATCCCCACCCACACTGGTGTCATCTCTAGACTGACTGAGGGTGTCCTCAAAAGTTACAAAGCAGGACAGGCCACAGCACTGAGCCCTGGGGAACACCACTGGTGATGGCCCCAGATGGATTTAGCTCCATTCCCCACCACTCTCTGGGGCCCATCCATCCATCCATCCATCCATCCATCCATCCATCCATCCATCCATCCATCATCCATCCATCCATCCATCCATCCATCCATCCATCCATCCATCCATCCATCTATCCATCCATCCATCATCCATCCATCCATCCATCCACATCCATCCACCCATCATCCATCCATCCAGTTTCTCCAGGAGAATGCTGAAGAACACAGTGAAGAACACAGTGTTAGATTTTTTACTAAAATCTAGGCAGACAACATCCACAGCCTTTCCTTCACCCAGAGTCACCCAGTCATAGCAGGAGGCCTGGCTGCTCAAGCAGCCCCTGCCTTTCTCCTGTGCTGGCTGGCCCTGATCCCCTGTATGTGCCATGTGATGGCACCCAAGACCATCTGCTCCGTGACCTTCTTGGCACCGAGGTCGGACTGGCAGTCCTGTAGGTCTCTGGATTGTCCCCACTTGCAGGCATTAAGCCCTTGCCTTTGGCACAGGCTGTGCCTGTGCTCAGGACTAGAGCACTGGGGCCTAAGCTGTGACAGCAGAGCCCAGTAGGGTGCCCTAGCTCTGTCCCAGCATTATGGCAACCAGCCCCTGCTGGGACTACTTCCCAAGCCCTAGCACAGCAGCAGGGGCTTGCACCCAGACATCCCTTCTGCTGCTAATTACGCTGTGTTTGTGGGCCAGGAAGATCCTGGAGGCAGAAGAGTTGTTTACGTGGCAAGACACTGGTTTGGCTCCAGACTGCCCAAGTGAAGCCAGGAGATAGCTCACTGGCCCACCACAAACTGTGACAAAGGCCTGCACGAGCGAGGCCCAGAACCCCATGGAACCAAACTGGTGTGGAGATGGGGTGCCTGTACCTCCTAGGTACTGTCACCAACAAGCCAGTGTGGGAGAACAAGCAGAGAAGCTGCTTGAGTCCCTGGGCCAGCTGATTGCACAGCTTGTGACCAGGCATGAATTCACCCTTCAAACCCATCACCAACACAACCATCCAATCTGCAGAGATCAAAGAGTGTCTTGGCTCTGGCAAACCCTGGTAAACATGGGCCTGCAGACATAGCATCCTCACCAGACCCGTGACATTTGAGAGCATGGCCTGGCACACACTGCCTTGTTGGTCTTCACAGCTGGCTTTACTTATTGATCAACGTCTTTAGGGAACGTGTGAGAGTGCTCACGACCGTGGCGACCGTGGCTGACTGGCGGGTGAGCTGCTCCACAGTCTGCTGGTGGCTCAGCGTTCTGGCCGTGGACTCCTCGGCAGCCTTCAGGAGGAAGGTGTAGTTTCTCACCACCTCCTCCACCTTCGTCAGCAGCTCTTGGCGCTGGGACTCCGAGCGCACGACGTACACCAGCCTCACAAAGGTCTCGATGAGGCTGCTTAGCACCTGGAAGCTGCTCGTGATGGCGGAGAGCATGTGGGTGGGACTCTTGTCGACGGCGGCCACGCGGCGGCAGGACGCCCGGAACTCCTTGAACTTGAGGGCCAGCTCCTGCTTGTACTCAGCCAGCTGGGAGATGTAGGGTTTGCAGTCCCGGACCTCAGGACTCAGCACACACTGCCTCAGGATGGTCAGGAGCTCATTGGTGTCCAGCTGCACCTGCAGAAACCCATTGGGAAAGCTGTAGGCATGGCCTCGAAGGGTGTTGATCTTTGCCAGGCTCCCCTCAAAACTGGAGGTCCTTAAATCTATTTCCTGGGTCTGGCTCTCATTGGGACTGCTGCAGGCTGTTGCATCTAGGACCTGAAGAGTCCTGCTCATGACTGGGACCATCTGATTGTCCAGCTTCATTCCCGGGAGTATCTGCATGGGGATAGAATAGGACAGCTCATCCTTCTCGCTCCCATCATCTGCTACATCGCATTTTCTGTAGTAGAAGCAGTACCGGATGGAGCAGCACTTCTCATCCTCCATGTCTTCATCCTGCAGCTCAGCAGGACTTGGGTACATCTCCTCCTGGACAGAGAACACTGCTGAACCCTTCTGGTTCTTTTTGTCCTGTGCTATCTGGACATAGGAGGGGTCAGCCACTCCAGAGGCTTCCTGGAGTTTGCTCTTCGGAACAGGACAGAGGATGCTGGGCTCAGGCTCTTTCTGGGGGCCTTTCTGCTTGGTTGTGTAGATGTTCTGGTAGACATCAGAGGACAAGGATGTCCTATCAGTCTTGTCTATTTCACTAACACTGTAGCGACGCAAGAGCTTCCTGTAGTGGGGTGCACTCATGCACTCCCCTCGGGAGGTGCACGTTGTCAAACAGGACATGTCTTTCTCTGCATCTGACCGGTTGTCTCTGGACTCTAAACTTGTGGATCGAATCCGTTTGCCCTTGGAAGGGCTGCTCAAGCTGGTCAGCCTAATGGCTTCTACCTGCTTCTGGTCATCTGCATCTTTATCCCTGCCTCGCCTCTCCAGTTCTGGTATCATCAGCTGGTTGGGGGGTGGCCTCATTCCCCTGCAAATCCGCTTGCAGTCACAGCTCCGCCTTTGCTCCCTGGACATCCCTGGGACTTTTTGCACAGGACTGCTCCTCAGCTGGCAGCTGCAGCGCCCAGGGGCAGGTGGGTGCAGATACTCCTGTGGCGGGAGGTCACCTTTGCTCTTTGGCTTGAGCAGCTCTTCAAGGAATTCCAGCTCATACTGCTTCACCTTCTGCAGCTGGGCCTGCCGCTCGTCCGTCTCCTTCTTCAGCCGGGTGGGAAATGTTGCAGAGAACAGGTTCCTAAGCCTGAAGGGAGCTTTTGGGGCTTTGGGTTTAGCTGGGACATCAGCGTCTTGTTGGGTTACCTCCAGGACTTTTTCTACTTTTTTGGAAGGCACAGTGCTAATCTGCAGGCTCTCAGATCTGGGCATCAGCTGGATTGGCCCTTTGGCTTCCTCACTGGTGCTTCGGAAAGTGCTACCAGGTGATGGAGAATGCACATTGCTGCTCTCAGCTTTTAAGATTTTGGCTGAGCTTTCCTGTTGTATTTTCTGTCCTTGGTTTGAAGGAGCTGTGTGTTTCTGCAAGACAAGGCTTATGGCTTCCCCACCTGCCTTCTGACCTGTCTCTCCACTTGCAGCTTTTCCTGGAGCATCTCTACTCACTTTTTGCTGGTAGCTTTTAGAGGCAAAAGTCTTACTGGACATCATTTCCTCGCCTGCTGAGGCGAGGTGGAAAGCTTCAGCCTGGCTGCCAGGAGCTTCCTTAGGACTTGGAGAAACTTCACAGTGCTGCTGCAGAGAGACTTGCTGCTGCTGCTGCTGACAGTTGCATAATGTCTCTGCAGTTTGTGGACCTCCTTTAAGTGTCAAAGGCTTGCTGCTGGCTGATGCACAGCTGCTGGTACCATTCATGTTCTGTTCTTTTAAGGCTGATACCACATGGGGAGCTGAGGCTTTTGCATTTGCCACCTGCTGCAGAGCAGCTGAAACGATGGCTGAAGTGACACTGCTTTTCTGATCCAGAAGGAGCTTGGAGCTCGGCTGCACCTCTTTGGGCATCTTCTCTTGTAGATCCTGTGCCCGCTCCCTGCTTGGGGCTGCTGTGGCATGCAGAGGTACCTCAAAGGCAGCTTTTGTGTGACCTGCACCTTTGCACTCAGAGCTTGGCACTGAAGCCCCCTTGCTCTGCTCACTGAGCTGGGGGGTCTGCCCCGGCTGGGCAGCCGAGGTGCAGCTCTGCTCCCCGTGCTGCTGCTCCTGCTTGCTCTTGCAGTTGGGAAGGCTGGGATTTTGGGTAGAGAAGGCTGGCTTCAGTGAAGGGCTCGGGTCCTGGCGGCTCAGGGGGTAGGGTGAGGTGAGAACTGCCTGGGCAGCACAGCTCTGGATTCGGAAAGGCAAGTCCTTCCTGGCCAGGAGGTTTTCTTTGTTGATGTGTTGGGTGAGGAAGTAGGCTGCGTTCTGATGCTGCTTCATAGCAGAGACCATCTCTGAGACATCGGTCAGCTCTGAGGAGTTCGTTTCGTGGCCAGAGTCCAAGGATGACTCAGGAGTGATGGCAGCCAGGACAATAAGACCTGAGGAGGGACACAAAGAAAACCCCACAACAATCCTCACACCACAGCGCTGTGTGGAGGAGAGGGGAACTCCTTGTGGCAGGAGGGTCCCAGGAATGCAGGGCACATTGGAGAAACTTCTGTCACTTCTCACAACTAAGAATAAAGGCTTGCAAGGGAAATCACTTTGTCAGCACTGAGCTGGCTTGATAGCTCAATTCAGCAAGAGCTTCTGGCCCAGGAAAAGATCCTGTGAAGCTTTCCATTGTTGGTGGTAGCAGAGCTATAGGGATGTCTCTGGCACATGAAAGAAAACTGGGCAATAGGTACTCTGCCATAGTGAGTAGGGCAACCAAGGTGGGCAGAGGGACAAAGGACTGTGCTGCCAGCAGGCTGGTCCCAGAGTCACCCATCTGGCAGCAGGTTTGCCTTGTGAAGGGCTCACACACTGCAAAACTGGGTGGGAACCTGCAAAGACCCAAGGCCCAAGGTCCCAGCTGAGTGGGGTCACAGTGGGGAGGAACTCATGCTCATAGTACTGGTTAGAGACTCGCCCCAGCATCGTGGCATATAGCAGATATGGGATAAACCAAGAGACTCCTTCAGCCTCTGTCAGGGAGAGGAGTCCCACCTCAGCTTCTTAGAAATCTTCTGAGCAGCAAATTGGCTGCTCCTGCTACAGCCTGCTGCCACAACTTAGTTTTTATGAGAAGCTGCTTCACAGTCACTTATAGGATGGGAGGAGCCTAAAGGGAAGGATGTACAATAGGAAAGAAAGGCTACAGGGAACAAAGGGAGTCACAGCCACTAAAATACCTGCTGTCTGCTGTGGAGGGGGATGTGGACAATCCTCTGAAGCAGCCAGGGCTTCCAGTGCCTGCAGGGTGGACACCAGGGCATCATCCAGCTCTTGGGCATGGTCCCGGACGGTCCGTGGCTGCACGCTGTCGATCAGAGTGACCGGGATCTCGTCGTACAGGATGCCACAGAGCTGCCGGCCCTGCTCCTGGCCCTGGGCAGCCGCCCGGCGCTTGGGGTCGTCCTCGTCGGAGCTGTTGTCTCGGAAGCCAGGAGGGGGGGCGGCGATGGCGGGGAGCAGGGACGTTGTCTCGTCTTCTTCCTCGTCATTATTCCCGGGAGGGGGGAGCGACGTCAAGTCCACCATGTTGTCGCGGGTGCTGCCAGGCTTGCCCGCCGTGCCCGAGGCCAGCCGGCTCCTGATCTTGGCTTGGCAGGACTCGCAGTAGAAGTGGGAGCTGTCGCTGCGCAGGTGGGTGTCTATGGTGTGTGCCCGGGCCCTGCTGGCGTGCCTGTCTTGCTCAAGGCCATCTGGGTCACACTCCTTAGCTACCCCGTTGTAGCCTTGGCCAGAGCTTTTGGAAGTGGGGTCAGATTTGGTCCTGGGACGAGTTTCCTCAAAAAAAATCAGGTTTTCATTGATATCCGTCCCGCTCTCTCTCTCCTTCCTCTGCTCTCGCATGTGCAGGTAGCAGAAGCGGACGAGCTCCGAGTCCGAAGCCCTGGTGGCAGAAGCCCCGGCTGCTCCGGTGACAGTGGCAGAGCCACCCACCAGCCCATTCTCCTTCTTTCCCACGTGCCCTGCCATGGCAGGCCGCTGGAAGTTGTGTGCGTTGATGTAATCTAAACCAAAACCACAAGAGGCACATTAGCAGCAGCACCGGGATGAAGGGAGAACAGTGGGAAGCTCCTGCTCACCCTGGAGAAGCACCCGTGTGCTCTCTGCCCTCCAGCCCACAGCACGCAGCACTGCGGTGGGACAGCACAGTCAGGCCACCTGGCTGGTCCTTTGGAAAACCTGCTGGGCCTGTCTGCCAGGAATGAGGGTAGGAGAAATGTCCTGCACCACAGAAGGAGCTGGAAGGGACATTTCAAGGCCATCTGGTGCAATCCCCCTGCAGTGAGCAGGGACACCAACTAGATCAGGTTGCTCAGAGCCATGTCCAACATTCAAGGAAATCTTGAATGTTTCCAGGGATGGGAACCTGTGCCTACACCTCACCACTCTCATCATAAAACCCCTCCTCCTTGTAGCTAATCTGAATCTACTCTCTTTCAATTTAAAACCACCGCCCCTTGTCCTACAACTACAAGCCCTATTAAACAGCTTCCCTGGAGCCTTCTCTTCTCAAGACTAAACCCTCCAACTCTCTCACCTAGGAGAGGTGCCCCAGCACTCTGGTCACCTTCATGGCCTCCTCTGGGCTCGCTCCAACAGGTCCATGTCCTTCCTGTGCTGGGGACCCCAGAGCTGGAGGCAGCACTGCAGGTGGGGTCTGACCAGAGTGAGCAGAGGGGCAGAATCCCCTCCCTTGATCTGCAGGTCATGCTGCTCTTTGGGCAGCCCAGGACACACTTGGCTTGCTGGGCTGTGAGCTCATGCTGCCAGCTCATTCCCAGCCTCTCACGCACCAGCACCTGCAGGTCCTCAGCAGGTTGCTCTCCATCCTTCATCCCCCATCCTGGATCAGTGCTGGGGTTGCCCCGACCCAGCTGCAGCACCTTGCATTGGCCTTGTCAAACCTCATGGGATTCCCATGGGCCACTGCTGGAGCCTGTCCAGGTCCCTCTGGCTGTCACTCTGTCCCTCAGGCATTTCAGCTGAACGACTCAGCTTGGTGTCATCTGCAAACTTGCTGAGGGTGCTCTCAATCCACTGTGTCCTTGATAAAGACATGAAACAGTGCTGGTCCCAGGACAGGCCCCTGAGCGTGATCTCTCTGCTGGGGCCAGGCTGGCAGAGCCAGAGGAGGGCTGGCCAGCACAGCTGACACTGGGGCACAGGGATGTGGGTGCTGCATCACTGACCCCCCAGCTCTGTCCCGAGGGCAGCAGGAACAGCCCAGCTGCTCCGACAAGGACCTCCAGCCTCAGCCTGCCAGCTCACATCCCATATGGCAAGAAGGAATTGTTGCCATTTCTGGGTAATGTTGGCCACACCAAGCAGTGTTCGTCAGGAGACTACTAAAAGTGGAGTAATATTGCCTTTTGGGGAGACATCCACTGTAGTTTGTGTTCCAGTGACAGTGTCCCAGCCCCTTGTCCCTCACTGCCTGTGTGTTATTTCTATCTGGCTGGCTATAACAGAGCCCGTTGCTCTTGCTGTTAAGTATCTCCCAGTGACAGCCTCCCCTTGCTCCCTTGTGCAGGTAAAGTGGCTGAAATACAACTTGAATTTCTGACCAGAGGTGCATCCCTCAGAGGGGCACTGTCTGCATTGCTGTGCTGAGAGTGGCTGCTGGGGGATGCAGGTTCTGTCTGACCAAGGATAAATTAAATCAAATAACTCCTAATTAAATTCATTAGCTCAACAAATTGGACAATTTGTCTCCCCAAACACATGTTTGTATTATACTGTTCATCACCTGCAATGCTAAAATCCCAATAAAAACAAAATCTCTTTGATGCCTGGCCATGGCAGCGCTCAGAAATGACAGCTGTGTGAGGGAGCACAAGGCTGCTGCAGCTGGGGACGTGTGGGCTTTAGAAGGGTGGCAAAGGCTGAGGCAGAGGCTTGCAGGCTGCCCATGCCGAGCCAAGGCCTGCTGCTGAACAGGGCCAAACTCCAAAAATCCAAAATCCAGCTGCTGGCTGCTCAGGAAGGAGAAAATGTCCTGAGAAGGAGCTGGGAGAGCAACTAAGGGCACAGAGCTGCTTGGCTGCTGGTGGCTGATGGTGAGAGTGGGGAGAAGAAGGGCCAGGGAGGTGAATCACCTGTGTAGCTCCAGCATGGCACAATGGAGGGCAAGGCTCTGGCACACGGCTCCGCAGGGAAATGCAGAGAGATGGATCTCACTGACAACATTCAGACAGCGTGTGCATTTCTAAAAATGTCTGCTGTTCAGCAGGAGGCTCTAATGGGCCTCAGGGAAGATGGATGTGCTCCTCTTCTAGGTAAAAGCATGGGCCAAGGCTTGATTTTACATTTAAGATTCTGGCACAGTCTGCCTGCAGCCTGGGAAGTCTGGGCTAACTTAATTCATCCCAGTGGGGCTCTCTCCTGCAAGGATGTGCTAATGATCAGCAGTTCTGCTCCCTGTGATCCGCCCAGCTCTGACAGCTCAGCCTGAGCCCTGCGGAGAGCAGCCTGCTGCCCCAGCACACCCTAAACCCACTCCTTCTGCAGGGTGCCTGGGCTGAGTGCACTGGGTGTGCACGGGAACTGCTCCACTGCCCTGCTCACAGAGGTTTTCAGTGCACCCAGGAGGATCCACAGCCCTCCAGAGAGGGGCTGGACAGACCCATCGCTGTCCTACCCTCACTGTGACTCCCTCTCACCCTCACTCCTGCCCCTGCGGAGTTCCATTGGTTACTTGGGACTGTCAACAACAGGGCAAGGTCTACAACTCTTTTTGGTAGAGGTTTGGACCATGGCCCTGAAGCAAAATCTCATGAAAAAAATCTGGCTACTAGCCACAGCTAGAATGTGGAAAAACACCACTTGCACGTGCTGAGACATCCCCTGAGAGGCCAGGAACTGTGGGTGCTGCCAGCCTCCCTCCAAGCCCTCAGGTGTGGGGTGCTCTCCACTTCTCTGGGTTCCCACAGCCATGTGCCCCGTGTGTCCCTGCAGCCCACATCAGGGTGGCACGAGCCAGGGAAGGACCACTCTGATGACAGTTAAACCAGTTTAGTTGCAAACACCCTCTGCTCACAGCAAAATGTGATTAAAGACATTTCCATAAGGGCAAGCAGGGCAGAGCACAGTGACAGCTGTCAGTCAGAGGCACAGAGGAAGAAAGGAGAGAAAACTGCTTATACTTACACCAAAATCACCTGCCAGGCCTTTTCTGGATCCACTGAGGTTGCTGCAGATGCTCTCCTGATCCCTCTTGTGAGTGTGTCTTCCCACACACGCCAAATCCATGTTTGGGTGCCTCCCTCAAAGGCACCAAGTGCTTTCCCAGGGACCCCATGAGCTCTCTGCACTCCCCCATTCCCCAAGCCAGGCCCATCCTGAGAAGGGAGTTTTGACACTGGCAGCTAAACTGAGGTCTTGTCACAGCTCTCTGGAGCTGCAATGTCACTTGAGAGGTCTGGGAGGGACCTTCCACAGGCAGCTGGGTTGGTATTTTGCCCATCTCCAGTCACTGAACCCATATTTTACATTTCCTATGCAAAATATATTGGATGTGAACACCTGCATGGAACAGCAGCATATAGTTCATGGTTGGCTCTTGTTTGAAATCACTCTTGAGAATCATTGCTCTTTTTGGAGGGTGCCTCACACCTGCAATCCATCCTTAAAGGACAGCATTGGTGCCTGTTGGGATGGATGGAAGCTCCTGCTGTGTCCAGACCAGCCTTCTGCTCCCCGAAAAGCTGGGCCAGCCAAGTTTCCTTCCTGATTGAGGAAACCAGCAGAGCAGCCATGGCAGGGCTGTCTGTGAGGCTCAGCCCCCAGGCTGGGGCAGCAGGAATGCAGCCCCTGAGCTCACACACTCAGCTGGGTCTCTGGAGCAGGATGCCAGCCAGGGAACGTGTGCTGCATCCCTGCAGCAGTGCACAGGCTGCTCTGGGAGGACCCAGCATGTGGCTGGCAGCTTTACAGGGCTTCTCAAACAGCACCTCCTGGAGCTGCTCCAGGAGCTGCCACCACAGCTCACGGGGAGTGCTTAGGGCCTGAGCTGATAGCACAAGTCATTTTGGCTGATCCAAAATGAGGACCTGTCTCCCTGCTCCTTGCTTTCTGGCTAAAGAGGGAGTCTGCTGGCTCTCAAGGTGAATGGGAGCAGAGGGGAGATGTCAGAGAAAGCCTTCCCCTTCCTAATGCTGCAGAGTGCTGAGCACAGGGAGGGAGGAGGCTGGGGAAGGGGCTGGCACAGAAAGCAGAGGCTGAAACGTACCTGCCTTGATAATCTGAGGTGGGGGTGGCTGGCTGGGGGCCCTGGACAGGATCATCTTCTTGGAGTCCACCAGGAGCCGGCAGTAGCCTGCGATCAGGCAGGCAAAGTTGGTGGCTTCAGGCCACTCCATCAGCAACACCAGCGGCTGGAAGGCAAGAGAGGTGAAGAACATGAAGGCCACTGGCTCAGCTGGTGGGGACCAGAGCTCCACAGGGGCTGTGCTGGGCCCTGCACTGGTGGAACTGGTGAGCTGCTGGTGCTCCCAGCACTCCCATGGGAAAAACCAACCAGCACAGCCTGGCTCCAGCTCACCCCACAAATGGCTGTGCACAGGAGAGTGTCTGGCTGCAGCTGTGATTGCTGCTGGCTGACTCCCCCAAGGATGAGGGACCCACAACAATGTCCTTCTGATCCTTCGTGTGCATGTCAGTGCCCTGAGCCCACCTGCAACACCTGTTCAACCATCAGGGCTTCGGGAGGAGCACAGGGACTTTGGGAGTCTCCAGCTGCCAGAACCCCTCCTGCATTGCAGGCACCGTGTCTCCCTCCCATAAGTTAAAACATCTGCTTCCAGCAAGATGCCAAAGGGGCCAAACCCCATTACAGGTTCCCCCAGCTACTGCTCTGAGACTGTGGATCTTATTTAAACCTAACCCGTTGGAAAATTAAATTTGTGCTTAGGAGCAGATGGTGCCTTCCCTTTTAGGAGAGCATTTATTTGCATGCTAAAAAAGATCTTTGCTTTAAAGAGAAATAAAACTCAGACATGATCTGTGTGACACATATAACCTCACAGCACAATCCAGCAGCAGACAGTGTGAGTCCCAGTTCCCCGACTGTCCTAAGGAGATCAGCCAGCCCAGGGAAGCTGCTGGGGTGGGATTCACTCTCAGCCAGCAGAGAGGCCCTGTGCACTGCTGGGAGCAGGCTGGGCAGAGCAGTCTGTGTCAGCACAGCTCCCTTGGGAGGTCCATGCTCCATCTGAGCCCCCAGCACTGCTCAGGACAGACCCGTGAGATGGAGAAAATTGACAACAGTTGTGGCAAAGGCAGCTCCTGCCCTCAGCCACCCCTTGCACAAAGCACCTCCACCTAAAGGGCCTTTGTACCCAGGTACAGGGGATTTCTGAGCCACCTGGGGATGCTGAACTGCTGCTGTCTCACGCTGCCTGTCCTGCCATGCTCGGCCTCTTGCACACTGAGAGCCCTCCAGGACTCAGAAGAACTCATTTACCACATTCAGGGAACACCAAGGCTGTTTTAAAAAACACTTAAGCCTACACAGTGTGAAAAGCATTAAAGCTATTTTGGTTTTCTTTAAAACCACAAGAAGTTCCTGGTACCCACTGGCCATTTTTGTGCTCTGCTTAATATTTGCTGCTGTGAGCCACCATGGCGAATCTGGCAAAGGAAGGCTCACCTTAGGCCAGAGTGTCATGCTCTGGACCATAAAGTGCAACAAATTTGGGTGTGAAGCCATCAGCCCTGGGCAGAGCTGCATGAGATCCCCAAGCCATGCCAGCCCCTGGCAGATTTCTCCCAGGGCCAGGGTAAAGAAGTTCCCTCTTTGGCTGCTGTGCAGGAAGATAAAGGAAAACAAATAACTTGATGTGGAAGAGAAGTAGCCTGATAAGTGAACATGCTCTGCTGAGAGCCTCTGCCCCTGCCTGCTTGACAAGGCTCTTTCTGAATCTTGGAAAATAAACCTGAGATGACACAGATCAAAGGGGAAGTATCAAACCGGGGGAGAGGAATGAAGAGGTTCTCAACATAGCTCGAAGGAGGCAGGCATGCAGTGGTGGGGAGGTGACACCTCTTAGCCCAGCTCCAGTCTTGGCATAAGTGATGAAAGGAAACCATGTGTTCTGTGTATGAAGCATCCTTAAAAAAAGTGGCTTCCACACAGGGCTGAGCCCTCCTGGATTTTTCCAGCTATCTGTTGAATGAGGACATATTTGTGCATTTTCCCTGCTCCGTTCTGCAAGGTTTGGAGTGTCAGCAACAAGGGAGGGAGCAAATCCCAGTGGGAGGGAGGCAGTGGCTGATAAACACCCACTGCTGGGAGATTAAACCGAGAGGCCAAGGTGGGCTGAGAATCCCCTTCCAAAAGGAAAACCAGGGCGTAGTTTCACCATGTGTGAATCCCACTGAGGCAGAGTGGCACAGGGCTGAGAACCTTCACTGCCTCCCTGTCAGTGCTCACCCTGCAGCCTCCAGGGCAGCCCCAGTGCCCCAGCTGGCGACCAGCACCTCCAAGACCCATTTCCATCTTTCCATCTCTCCATCTTTGCTCAGCTACCTCTGCCTCAGGATGCTCCCACCCATCCAGAGATGGGACTGTAGCTTCTTGCTGGCAGGACACAGCCCCTGGATCAGTCCTCCTGAAGGGTGACAGGACTGAGATACAACAACCCTGACAACAACCCTGATGTTTCTCAACTACAAATGATACACCAGGGTGCTGGAGCTCCCTACCAGGTCTCCAAGCAAGTCCAGCCTCCAGAATGGCTTCCAGCAATAAATGCATGGCATGCAGGAGTTAACTGTGGCACTCTGCTCTGAAAAAGAGGAATTTTAAACCTGTTAACATTACAGCTGAGAAAAGATTACTCTGGTATACTGACAGGGAAGCTGTGTGAGAGTTCTTCAATTGTCAAGCATTTAAATATTGTTATTAGGGATTAAATCACTTCAGGTGCAGCTTGGAGCCATCCACCCCTGCTGTGGATGTGTCATCTCCCCATGGCCTGGGACACGGGTCTGTGTCCTGCTCATGGTTATGAGCTGTTTACAAAGCCTGGGATAGTGAGCAAAGCTGCTGCAGTCAGGCTGTGCATCCCCCCTGGCCTTGCTGGCTCCTCTGCTGCTCACTAACAGAGTTCTGGCACAGCATCTGAGCCTTTCCCACATGGGGTTACAAGACTGGCTCTCTCTCTTCCACTCCACTAGGCAGTTTTGCTGAGGTTGCAACAGCTCAGCTGCCTTTGAGATGCCCACCCTGCTGCCACATCCCCCTGAAAGGGGCAGCAGATCTGAAAGTGATTTATGGGGTCAAGAAGCAAAGAGAAAACAAGATTGCAGCAGCCCTGTTCTGTTGGGAAGTGATTTCACAAAGAGGAGGTATCAGGGGTGGCAGCTAAGGGAGGTGTTATTTTTGGGCACTGGCGACCTTGGCCACCCTGTTCCATGTGGGCAAGGCAAACGAGATCGTGTGGAGACAGCCAGGCACGGGCGAGCTGAGCAAATATTGACTTTGTGAACAGGTGCACCAAGCCTTTCCAGCTGATGGTGCTGAGGGTTTTAGATGGCAAATTCAGGGCAGCTTTGCGGGGAGCTGCTCTGAATGAGAACAGCTCTGAACTGCAGACTGTGCTTTGGGTTTCCTTGGCTTCTGGCAAACAGGATTCACCTCCTTTCCCTTAGAAACATCCTGCTAGAGGCAGTGAGGGCTCGTGCCTGAGGTCAGGACTGGCCTGGTGCCCACGGGGCTGGGGTTCATCGTGGCATCCCTGCTTATCTCCCTGCAGTACTCACTGCTCAATCTCAACCAACCCCAGCCAAGATGTAGGAACCTAGAAGAGCATGAATCTTTCTGTTTTCTAAACCCAGGGTGCCACAGGGCAGAGACTGGTGTGAGCAGCTGGAAGGCAGGGAAGGATGCAGCAGGGACAAAAGCAGTGCTGCTCCTCTGAGCCTGCTCCCTGCCCTGGCAGCACTGTGGCCACAAGGTGCAGAACCCTCTTTCTCAGCTGCTGATCAGGAGATGATGTTGATCACTGATGGGGAACAAGTTATCAACCTGGATAAGCCCTGGCTGCCCTCCCAGGCACCTCTGGCCTGTCTCATGCCCACTAGCCCATCCTCTTCCTCATTCTCACAGGCACATTCTTGCTGCTACAGCTCCTCAGTGGCCCCAGGGCTCTGTTTCCTTGGGAGAGCAAAGCAGAAATGCCTATCTGTGTTTTGTCAGGACAGCTGCACTGTTAGGATGAAAAATCTAAGTTTTACACAGAAGCAAACTTCCTGGGATAACCGTACTGCTCTAAAAATTGGACAAACATCAGATTCCCAGTGGGATGCCAGCTGATGTGCCATCTCTGACCTATAATGTGCCCACATGTAAAGAAGCAAATTTTCACAAGGATGCTCTTCCTACTTCTAAATGTGTAATACCAGCCTGAAATTATTGATGGTTTGATCTGTCATGCATAATGGCTTCCTAGATTTTCTAGGCCTCATGAGGAAAGGACAGCTTTTCACTCAAAGTTTCCTGCTTGACAACCAGTCTCTCTGTGAAGTAAAACAAAATGTTTATACCGGATAGAAGAAATTACTTTTGCATTAGCTTAATTAATGATACAGTGATTTTTCTATAATGCCCTGCTTTTAAACAAGACCTCAGTGTTCTTCTGGAGGGTATTTTCTTGCTAAAACAAAGGTCTATAGGAAATTTTCTGGTCAGGGTTATGTTAGATGATTTTAACAGTCCTCATACTGAAATTAATTTATGGCTTGATCTATTAATACTATAACCTCTAAGATTATATGCATTTCCTTTTAATCTCGCCCCTTTATCACGTACTTTGGGTCCTACCCTGCTTCCTTTAATGCAGTGCAGCAGAAAGATAGGAGATGAATTTACATAATTTATGTTCCTTGGTTTACTTGAGGTGCACTGCCAAGTTTTTATGTAATAATACAGGCACCTGGGCCTAACGAGGCAGCAGTCGATTTTTCACTCCTATCTGACCTTTCCTTCTGTCCTCTGAAGCATTAATAACTCAGTTCTATCAATACCAGGCTGCTTGTGATGAGGACCACTACTTCCCACTTGTTGATCAGTAAGGGCACTGCCCTGGTTAGACCTGCAGGTCTCTCCTTTCTTAGAGGGTTGTATTTTTTGATTGGCTTTGGGGCTTCTTTTTCTCCTTTTCCTTTTTTTTCCTTTTTCTTTTTTTAATGAACAAATCAAATTTGGCTTTGCAGGCTTGGAAACTCATCCTCTCCACATGTTTTCTGCCTCTTGTGTTTCTTTCACTGTCTCCTGTGTGCCTGCAGGCAGCAAGCTGGGTGGTGCTGGAGCTGGGCAGTGCTTTGTGTTGCATCCCAGTGCTTTGCTTTACATCCCATTCCCTTGCTTTACATC